CTGAGTTCATTTTGTGCCTTAGCCTTACAGAACTTCTTTATCTTTTCTTCTATGCAGACAGACACTTTGGAGCTTCACTCTTCATTTGATGGGAAAGCAATTTCCCATGTTTAAAAAGGAGACAAAATCTGTTGATGTTAAAATACATACAGCGTACTTCGTGGACAGATCTCCAATGGAGTAACAAAGTATCACAAGACTCATGTTTTTATAATGTGACAAAATTTATAAGCTGATTTTGGGCCACTAAAAACAATATTGTTACTGATTTTACACCATATTGTAAGCCCAAATGCCTTTGATAATCTCTTTTGGGTTTTTTTTCTATATATGCATGATATTAACATTGTCAACATGGAAAGAAAACCAGAAGTCCATTGCAGGTATTTACTTTCTCATGGCAAACTGATTTAAACCAATGCCAACTTAATCCCTGTATACAAACTTACCTTCATATGGAAAGGATTTATGAATTTACTAAAAATCTTATATTAGTGTAAAATAAGTAAAATATTATTTGTGGAGAATAAAGCAAAATGCACAAAAACAGAGTGTACTAATCTTTCTGAGCTATGCACAACCAATGAAAGCAGCTTGAGCTCCACCAAGAGAACTGTGTGAGAACTGCAATTCAGCTGGAAAACAAGATTTCGTATTTTCATTCAGGGCTTGAAAACAATCCTTTTTTGATATATAACTCACCCACCGCATCCCCAGCCAACTTTGTTCTGATTTGCACATAAATTACATTACTAGATAGCCCCAGCTATATGTAAAATGTGTACTTTTATCAAAAATATTCTTTAGCATAAATAAATGTAATCAAAATACCCAAGAGAGTATCTAGCTGACTATTAGTTGATCTCAAAAAGATTTAGATACATATCCTCTAAAGTCCCCATCTGGGAAAAGGCCATCACAATTAATTATGTCCCATCCATTTTTTCTACTGTTTTTCAAATGCCCGAGTTTCTCTTTCTTCCTCCCACCTCCATCTTTATTCAGTTACAGCAAACTGAGTTCCAAGTGCAAAAGTTGTTTGCAAACATCCTGGTGGGGGGACAGAAGAGCGAAAAATCTTGCCTTTCCAAATGGACCCAGGCAAAAGTGATTTGCTGCCACCTCTCCTAGCATGTCCGTTTTCTTCACATGTAAAATTTCTCATCTTGGGTACCGTCTTATGTTGTTTGCTGATGTCCTAGTTTTCATCTGTAAAATGTTGTAAGTTATGCAGATGCAAGTAACTATGTCAATGTGACCAACCTCAAAAACAGTCTATTCTTATTACATATCACTTTTGGATATCTTCTTTTATGGCTTCATTTTACTCTTTTACAGGACTCATTTATTTTTCATCTTCACATGCACGCACACACAAATCATATTTAAATATTCTTTTTAGGACACCTTTTTCTGTCAAGAAACTTATTTTCTTCTGAAGTCTCTCAGCTACAGATCTTCAAACACATGCCAAAATGTTTCAGATTCTAAAATTCTGTCAAAACATACCACACTTGTATCTACATGTCTGTCTATGATCAGGTCATTTTGTAACAGAATTAACAAAGATCAATCAGATGTTCACAGAAATGGTTTTGCTGTAATCATGGAGAAAGCCCACCCTCACCATTCAGGCTTGAAAAAGTTCTTTTTTTAAGACTTTAAATCCCACAGCTACAGAAACAACTGGATATCTACATTTCCTAATTGCTGGTTTGCATTATACTAACTTCCTTTTAGCTTGTTTTACCATACTGATCTCACCCTTTTCATGCATCAGTCTGACCTGCAGCCATTTTCCTTTTTCATCTTTCTCCTCGATAAGACTCTGTGCTTGACTATCCACAAGCAATGTGTGTTTCACAAAAATACTAAGCTTTCTCCTTTCTCTGTTAGGTTGAGGGGGTTAGTGGATCTATTCAACTTCTTTCTTGCCATTTTGGTTACATTGTGAAAGATCCATTACTACTAGCTCATACTGCCCCAACCATCAGGCCAGCAAGTATGCCAGCTTCAAGGGGGAGCTTTTCTAGAATTTGTATCACAACACATCCAAGTTCTGTCTCCATCTCAAACCTCCTGAGATTTTTTTTTTCCTGTCAGGAGCAGCTTGAGAAACTGCAAGTTGCTTCTGGTTTGAGAGAATTGGCCATCTACAAGGATATTGCCCAGGGGATGACTGGATGGTTGATATTTTACTATTCTTGTGGGAGGCTTCTCTCATGTCCCCGCATGGAGAGATGGAGCTGACAGAGGGAGCTCAACCCGCTCTCCCTGGATTCGAACCACTGACCTGTTGGTCTTCAGTCCTGCCAGGACAAGGGTTTAACCATTGTACCACCGGGGGCTCCTACCTCCCCAGCCGCAATCCCTGGATATGCTCACACTATTCCCATAAGCCCTTATTTGAATCTGGGAGCTCCTCCTCTATTTGAATTTTGCAAAATGGGTTTGTGTCCTGGAAGGTAAACATTTCTGCCCGAGTGCTAAATTTAGATAATCTTGATCTGGAATCATGTCATTCAACAAGCTCAAACTTTCTGTGCCATTTATCTCCTGTGTTTCCCAGTCTGAAGTTTGCTTTGCTAAGTGGAATTGCAGATCACCTCGAGCTAATTTGACTATCCCATTTCTCTGCCTTTTAACTGCAGACAAAGAAACTCTCAGTACATCCACTAGCACAAAAGCACAATCTCCAAAGCACGTTCCTGAATTTAATTTCATATTTTATTCTGAACTTTTATCATTGAAAGTGTTCCACTTCCCCTTATGTCTTTTCTTTTTGAATACATTCCTGGAAATGGTGCACAATTTAGCAATATTCAGTGAATTCCAGATTGGTCAAATCATTTTGTCATCACCATTATCTAAAAGCTCCACAGTTTACTTTTTGCAGCATCATGGGGAGGGAAGGAAGAATCAAATTCTGCCTGTTTTCATCTGAGCACAGCATGGGAAATGACTCAGCGGCAGCCTTCACACCAGTTCTCTCGCAGAGGGCATTTGCCAATCAGAAGCTCCCAATCTCTTCTACAAATAAGGTGAAGAGGCCATTTCTTTGCCTCTGCCTCTGTGTACTCATGTATTTTTTAAAAGTGTCATTCTATGTTCCACTTGGCATTTGGATGAGCTTCCCCTGAGAGCTGAAAATGGAGGATTACAAAACACAGCTCCAAGAATCCTCAGGCATCTATGAACAGGCCACATACCTGTTGTTTTCTAAGGTCACACTTCATATTGAAAATACTATGGTTTAAAGCTGAAATGGCACATGTTATTCTGGAACCACAGCTGGAAGACTGTATGCATGAATTCAGCCTCACTTAAGGGAATCCATGCATATAAAATTATGGCATGGCACAGAAAATTTGAAATCCTTTCCCTCCACGCACACACACATAACTCCCTGACATGCCACCTGCCTATTTCTTAATACAAGACATAAAAAATAGAAGCCAGATGAGTCACTGCCATTTTCCTTTCTTCCTGCACCAATGGTAATATGCAATGTGATGCACATCTTTTAGAAGTTCAGATCTTATTGAATACAAAACTTGCAAATCCTGTTCATTGTACTTCAACAGAAGAATATGCCAAATGTATCTCTTTTTGCCACTTACCTATAAAAATTAAAGATCCACCAACATTTGTGTGTCATAATTTCATTTAAGCAGCAAATAGTACATTCCTTTAACTTATGTAGGGTTGAAGCAAGGAGATAGCAGATGACATTTCCCCTCTTCAAGGCACCAGAGAAAGGAAAATGCACCCTACAACACCATATTTCCCCTTTTGGGGGGACGACTGGATGTGTCTAAAAAGCTCTTCCTATTTGGAAAAAGGCTACGTTTGAACACAAACACATACAGCATATAAAAATCCAGAGAGAATGAACAAGCCAAAGCTACCCAGTAGAAGCAATTGGGACATTCAAGGAAAGGTGACCATTCAACAGGACCTGATGAATTTCAGCACCACTGGGATAGTCTGGACTTCATCTTGCTATCACCGCAGGATAGAGTTGGGTGAGAACATTGCTATTTCAGGCCAACCTCAGATGTACCCCAACATTTCTGAAAGACCACCTCCCTCCATATGAACTTGCCCCAAAATGTGAGATCTTAAGCAGAACCCTGCTGTGTGCCACAAGATCTTGTGAGTCTAGAATGTGTGCTGGCATGACAGGATTTTTTCTGTAGTAGCACCTCAGTTGTGAAACTTCATACCACAGAACATTACATTGCCTCCATCTGATTTGAGCTTCCAGTGGGCATCTAAAAACTGTTCTGCTTTTGATGCTTGAAACCATTATATCTGTTTCAATTTTTTGTTTTGAACTTATTTTTAAGAATTATTTTAGATGGCTTTAAATTTTATTAAAGAGTATTTTAATTTGTTTTTTTGAAGTTTTTACCTCTGTATTTTTATAGATGCATTTTCATCTGTTTTGTTTTGTATTTGTACAGAGGCCCTGGTGTATTGGGAATTGCACTATAGAAAACATTATGAATGAATGAACTCTACTTCAATAATAAAATATAAACCCATGGCACATCAGCAGTGCAATGTCTTAAAAATAACCTTTCCAAATATATTTAACACATTTTAAAGACATAAGATCCAAATGTAGCAAAATTGATTATTGATTTTTACCTTCCTTGATTGCAACATCACCAAAGCATTACAAGGAGATTATCCAATTTCAAACTTTGTTCCCAATGTATAATAATGTATAATTGTACTGGCATCGAGGAATAATATCTTTTGCAACCAAGGTTACTTCTCTATTATAGCTTGTTTATTCATAGGACCAAATGTCAAAGAGCCAATGAAGCAACTAACAAGGGAGATTGAACTAAATGCAAGATTAAAAAAATGAGTTCACAGACTTGTTAGCAGCAAAAAAAACTAAAACAAAACCAAACACACGTCTTTCAAGTAAATCAGTGTCCATTATACTGAACTAAAAAAACCCCACAAATACATCAAAATGCCATTACCTTCTCAACAGCTTTGGTTTTGGTTTCTGAATCCATCCAGCTGTTTTCATTTTCCAACATGTCCATAAAGGCCCAACGAATCCCTTCAGTCAATTCTGCCATCTGTAATAAATATTTCTGGTAAGATCCTGAGGAATGTGCTGTACTTTCATTGTAATCCAGCAAAAGAGGCAGAGGCAGATAAAGATGTGTACTAAAGAGTGCATTTGCACTGTAAAATTAATGCAATAACTGCCACTGCTCAATGTTATGAAATCCAGTAGTTGTAGTTTGGTGAAACACCAGCGTTATTTGGCAGAGAAGGCTAAAGGCCTTGTAAAACTACAACCACTATGATTCCATAGTATTGGGCCATGGTAGTTAAAGTGGTGTCAAATTGCATTAATTTTACAGTGTAGATGCATCCTGGGTGTGTATTCCCATTTGCATCACAATGTTCATCTGATCTTCTACTGTCACTAAGATGAAGTGGAATTATTAGAGGTTATGTTCATCGTCCTTATCAAAAACCTACTTAGGAGTAGACAAATTATGTGAGTCAGATGGGCACTTTTTGTTTCTTTGGGGTCTCAGTGGTCTGTACCAGCAACAAATAGTGGTGACCAGAAGAAATAGCTGGGATAACTGATTTTTTAAAAAAACTATTGTTCTTATGATTGTTTTAAAAGACTCTTGGACACAGATCTACATTTTGTGCAAGTTCACCGCTGGTAGACTGTACCCTAAATATCAATTAAAATATGAAAAACATCTAGAAAATAATACTCAGCTGAGTCATAAGCTTCAGGTCGCTTCTCTGAATGAGACTGTTGATATTGACCTAAGTAGGAAAAGCAACTCCTTATCTAAATGAGCAAAGGGAATTGTAACATCTCATTTATATGATTCATTGCTATCCTTTTAATATCATCTCATTTTGGTACAATATGGAAGGCAGTACAAACTTAGCATTAAATATGACCAAGCATTCAACAGCCGGGAGTAAACTGCATCCCAGGGAATAAGGTAACTTGGAGAATATTGATGGCGGAGCACTGTTTCAATTAACTTAGTGCACTAATGAGGTGAACTCCCTGTACTTGGAGGTTGCCAGTTCATATTCCAGCTCTACAATTGGACTCTGGTGTATATTCTTGTTTTTATGCACCAGCTGTAGCAGTAGGGGAGGGAGGAGGAATCTATTCATGCCATAAAGAGTTGTTATCAAAATTGTTCAGGCATAGCTGAATGAAACACTGCCTAGACTGTAGGTCAAAAGCAGTGCTATATTTAGACACCAATAATATATCTATTTGATAAAAGAAGAGAAACAAGAAGGCAACCAGGGCATGAGCTCATCAGTGACTAAATCCTAAAACATAACCCTTCCCATAATGCACAGTTTCTCTAGTGCAGGCTTTTTACCAGCCAAATTAAGGGAGGGGATTCTTTAAAAATGGGTTTCAACAGAGGGGGAAAACATCTTGGATGGTTGCAGTATGTATTGCTGTAGCTCTCAGAGGTTTGTTTTTTTTATCTAAACAATAGTACCAAATGACTTTCTGGCAATTTATTGTACTGCAGTACTGTATATTTTTGTGTATTTATTTTATTTATATGTCATCTTGCTTCTTACAAGATCCAAGGGAGCCATCCTCAGTTGGGATTCTTATTCCCACCCTTAAATGGGTTTCTTTTTAATTATGAGAATGAAAGAACAAAAAGATACCTTTTACTCCATTTTTCATTTATTTATTCATTTTTAAAGTTAGCGTGTCATTGCATCACTAAAGTGGTACTGTTACATGATAGCACTATAAGCCTTAAAAATTAATACAAACAAAAAGCTAGCCATGTAACTTGTAAGCAAATTAGGATGCATCTAAATTGCAGAATTAATGCAACTTGACACTACACCACAGAGGCTCAATGAGATGGAATCATGGGAGTTGTAGTTTTACAAGATCTTTCTTCTTCTCTGTCAAAGAGTACTGATGCCTCACCAAACTGAAACTCTGTGTCAAAAGAACCAAGGCACATACCATTTCCCTCTTGTCTTCTTGGAAGTGTAGATCTACAAACATTCTGCCAGTGACGTATGGGAGAGCATTTTCCACAAAGTTTACACATTTATCCCATTGAGGTTGTAAGGAACTTGTCCCCTGGATTACCTGGTTTGATCAAACACAAATAAATTGTGTTTCCTTAGGGGGAAAAAACTACCACAGTATGTTCAGTATTTCTTACACAATCCCCATCCCAACCCCCTAAGGACTTTCAAACTACCCTTTCCATTCAGACAGTTTTCAACTATCTGAAATAATATTCCAGTTATCTGACAGAGATAAACTAGATGCCAGGAAATCTGCCATCAAATTGGATATCCCAAAGATGGTAAAGCACATTAGGCCAAAAGGATGGGAGAATGAGGATTAAGTAGAATCATAGAATCATAGAGTTGGAAGAGACCTTGTGGGCCATCCAGTCCAACCCTTTGCCAAGAAGCAGGAAAATCAAGTTCAAAGCACCCAAGCACCGTCCAGCCTCTGTTTAAAAGCCTCCATAGAAGGAGCCTCCTTTATCAAAACGGAACCTCTCTTGCAAATGCTTTGTGCTGATGATGTGCTTGCATATTTTATCCCATAGGCAAATAGTAGCTGTTGAGGAGTTTTCAATAGGAAAACCGGTGTTAAAGAAAAGCATTACTCCTTTATGCATCCATCACTGTCCTAAAGAATCAATCAAGAGCCAAGAAATACTACTTTTGATTACAAATTCCAGAATTTCCCAATCAACATGGCTAGTAGCCATACCAGTCAGGATTTTCAGGAAGCTCTAGACCTAGAAAGGAAGAAAGAAGGAGATTCTTTCTGGTTCTATTTCTTCCTCCCTCCAGTTATTTTAAGTTTAAAAATAGATGCATTCTGTTGTATACATAATCCAGCTCAGGCAAACCATTTGAAGATGTCTGAAGAATGACAGGATACACACTGAACAATCAAATGGAACAGGGCAGAATGAAACAGAGCAGGTTTTTGAAATCCTGATGGTATTTCCACTGTGAGAGGAAAATAAATAATGTGGGTCATTACAAAATTGTCCTCTCTGTGTCCCATGTACTAATAACCAGAGAATGAAAAATCACACCTTCATGGAAAGAAGATGCTGAAATAAGGAGAGAAAGATTGGATGGACAAAAGGCTAATCTCTTAATTTCCTGCAGGCAGGGAGGCAACATTTATTATTCAAATCTCTGTCAGAATTTGAGTCCTCCTGACCTGAGGAAGATTACGATGGCAATATTTTTTGACCTCTCTTTAAAGGTTTTGATTTGGGCAGGCTAGCTGGAATTATAGTAATTCATGGAACTCTGCTAACAATTGCTGTCAGTGGTTTTATATGTGGGATGTGACACATTCAAATCAAAATCTCACTTACCCTTGAAAAATCTAGCCACCTATATTGAAAACGCCGGCTAAGGTTAAATATTCTTGAATAAACCATTCTCCATACCAGATAGTTGGCAATAGTCCTGTCAAAGCAGACACATTTTATGTCAGACCATTAAGCCCTGTATGCCCTTATGTACAGCTGACTGGTAACTATGAATTAATACATAAATAACTTTATTTTCCAGATTGGTGCACTACTTGCTATAGTAACAGCTTTACATTGAAGACTTATGAGCAATAACAAAACTATACTTGGCACTCCACCTTCGTGGATTTGACTTTTGCAGATTTGAAAAATATATTTTCTTTAGATCCTCCAGGATGATTCTGTGGTTAACTTCCAGGAAAGTCCTGCTTCTCAATTCCCCAGAAAGCAGAGAACATACTGTAACTACATGGGCTAGACAGAAGGAAAGGCTAAATAGCAATAATCTGAGCATATGGCTGAATTAAAGGACTCATGGTTTGGCACACCTTTCAACTATTTTGTGTCCTGGGATTAAATTTGGCATTGGAAATTTTTCAAGAACTTATAAAAGTCCTGCCCTGACTTTAAAACATCTCAAAGGATAGAGCAACAGCAATAAAGCAGAAATAAATCTTACCACCATTACACTGTTCAGGCAGGTTCCTGGCACATTTATTTATTTATTTATTTATTTCATTTACTTATACCCCGCCCTTCTCACCCCGAGGGGGACTCAGGGCGGCTTACAGTGGGGGCACAATTAGATGCCCAAGACAATTCACAAACAATACAAATACAAACAATTCAACAATTAATTAAAAACACCAGTACATAATAAAACAATAAAACAGTCTCATGCTCAGGGTTCAGAGTCCATATATCCATTCCATTCCACTTGTCTATCATCAGATCCTTCAGTTAGTTGTCAGAATGACCAAAGGCTTGATCCCAGATCCAGGTCTTCAGTTTTTTCCTAAACGCCAGAAGGGAAGATGACGATCTAATCTCCCCGGGGAGTGAGTTCCACAGGTGGGGGCCACCACTGAGAAGGCCCTGCTCCTCGTCCCCGCCAGCCTCACTTGTGACAGTGGCGGGGTCGAGAGCAGGGCCTCCCCAGAAGATCTTAATGGAAATGACACACACAGGGAGGTGCGGGGAGGAGGAAAATAGCTCTCCAGCACTTCCTGGTGCATTCTTTCTATGTGCCAGGAGCCTACCGGAGCAGTGTAATGGTGGACCAATAAGTTCTTTCTTCTTTTAAGGGCTTTGGGAAGGGGGTTGGGGTGACCCCATGTGCCGTCACTGTAGTTAGTGCAATGGCATGGGACACACACATATCAGGAAAGCCCAGGTTTTTTAGGGGGTATGGGGTCAAAAACCCACATCAAAGTGAGTTTTTAAAAACCCTCTTTAGCGTGGTTCTTCCCCTTGTCTGGAACCCCCCTTAGACATCATCAATTGACATGGCTATGGCCGGGGGGGGGGGGGTTAAGGGTTCAACCCTCCCCCCCAAAAAATGTGTCAGGTTAAAAAATCCTGGCTTATTCATGAATTTTAAGTGGCTAACCAATTTGGGGGGGGGGGGTTGAACCCTTAAAATACCCCCCCCCAGGCTATGGCCAAGAGTGGGGGCATCCTTTTGGTGTCCCTTATGAACTTTCCAACTGCCAGAGGATTGAGCTGTGTACAACAGAACTACCAATTCATTACTTAACTCACCAATTAATTCACTACTTTCAATTGTTATCATAACAAGTATTGGGTTGTTTTTAATAGATGTATATTATGCTTAATAGGATTAACGCCAGGAGAAAAATAGGAGTAAACACATAATTTTAGAGATTTGAAGGGCATCATGAATTTTATGAATCTGATTAATATTCAGATTTTGTAAAAACATGTGAATAGTTTCTGCGGTTTGCAAGAAGCTATGGGACCTTTCCCTATAATGTGATTTTTTAAAAAAAAAATGCTTAAAGCTGCTACTTGAAGTGCATAAAATGTAGAGATGTAATTCTCTGCCAGTTCTTAAAAGAAGCAATGAGTAAATTTACAATTTTTCTTATTATTATAAGGTAGTCTTTGGAATCTGCAGTTTTTAAAGATTATTCATATTTCAGGACTTATTCTACACAAAATTCTCACATTTTCATTTCTCACTTAAAATGGCACTTCCTGCACAGATCTCATTTTCTTTATATAAAATGCTGTTTAGCCATGCAGAAAATGTTTGTATCTGTGCAAGACAACCATATATTAATTTAGCACACATTGCTTCCACGAATACAATATTTTGCACACAAGAAACAACATCTTATACCCATAACATAATATTTATCTGTCATTGTTTCCAAGATGCCGTGTGCATGGCCTACTATTCACAAATAGGGCTTACACATTTAAGGAAAACCACACTGTGTCATTGTTTTTCAACACAAGGAATATGTTAGAAGGCAAGTCACAAGTTACATACTTAATTGTTTCACTTTTCTATAAAAAAAAAATCTCCAATGCTAGAGGAACTAGCATTTTATGAAAAAATGATGATGGCTCTCTTCCATGGCATGCTAGACCCATGGAAGTAAAGGGTTTTTGAAATATTTGAGACATAATTTTTCATCTGAATTTTGGACTGGCAATATTTTTGGAGAGCTATCTGTGCCTTATTAATATTTTGGATAAATGAAACCTTGGGCATTAAGTCTCTTGAACTTTGTTGACTTTGTAGGTCTTTGGCTTTCTCTATTTGGGTATGCACATTCATAGCCAACATTTTCTTGCATTGTGACAAATTAGACAACAATCTATTCACCCTGTCCTGTCTATCATGGAATTCTATTAAGAATTCTGCATTTGCATCCCCTTTGGAGATATTTGGTTTAATGCACATGCTTATTACCTAGATGCTCTAGCACTGTAAGAGTCCAGTAAGAAAGAAACAAAGGGGAGTGTACAATTCTCTACAGCAAGACAGCTCTATCAGTCTCCCAGCTCCTTTATTCCCAATTTGCTTCCAAACCTCAGGGTGCCAAAAGCAAAGATCTTTCTATAAGAGGCCAGCAGATCCATACATTTGAGAGAGGACATAAAGGAGGAGGAGAGTCTAAAACCATACACATTCTACAGGAAAATTATAATCATGTTCATTATTTTTATTATGTCATATTGGATTATTTCTACTTTGTTTTCATTTTGATGTTAATTCTTTTGTTATAAGTTTATTGCCATTGTTATACATTACTTTGATTTTGATGTGTTTGTATATATTTAGGGCATTGGATGTTTGCCTTTTTTTTTCTGTGTGTAAATCGCCCTGAGTCCCCTCGAGGACTGAGGGTGGTCTAGAAATAAAGTATTATTATTATTTGAAACAGAAAAAGATTAGTACACAGCAAACAAGGTCACTCTGCTGGCTGTTGTATTGGATCACACGTCAGACACTTCCCAAGTGTCTAGGACTGTGTGATGTATTGGTGAATAATGCATGCAGATCCCAGTAGGGTGGTCTTTTGCAGATGGTAATTTTGTCAGCACTGATTGTGTTTAAGTGCAAGCTAAGGTCTTTAGGCACTGCACTCAGTGTGCCAATCACCACTGGAACCACCTTTACTGGCTTGTGCCATTATTATTATTATTATTATTATTATTATTATTATTATTATTATTCTGACACAAAAACACAGTATGTCACAGCAAATGACATATATATGCTGGATTATTATTATTATTATTATTATTATTATTATTATTATTATTACCACCAACTAGGGGAGATGAAGGATAATTGATGACAATAAAGCAAGGAAAAGACAAAAATGCCACCCACTTCAAAAAGTCACCAGAAGTAACACTCATGGAATAGAACAACAGATCTCTAAATCCAACAAAAGTAATGACTTTATGCTGTATCACTTAGCAGACCTCCCCTTCTCCTCTTTTCTTCCCTGTAACTATCTCTTCAGGTCATTAAATAATAGAGAAGATCACAATAGCTGTATTTATCCAGTACTGATATTTAGACTTGCTGCTGGTAATGGCTATTCACTGATTAGTACATCTGCATAATTGAGCCTATATTGTGCCCAGTGCATCTTGAAGGATCATATTGGAATTTTTACTGCCACTAAAATTTGTAAAATTCAAAGATGTAATTTGTACTAAAATAACAGCAATTCAACATAATTTGATAAAAATGATTCTTTCTCCAGTCAGATCTTCCACAGTTCTATATACATAAGATAATAGAGCCCTATTCCACAGTGGAGAGTTCAGCAGAGAAATAATTTTTCTTTTCCCCCATTACATCAAGAAAATCTAAACAGTGCAGTTGTTATAAAAGAGTTATTATAAAGTAGACCTCGAACTGCTGAGAAGATGTCCACAGATATAAATAATGATGAATTTTCCAAATGTTTTGCAGAGAAATTTGCTTGTTTTTGTTCTGACTTGTATTCTATATGGAAGGCAGAGTGTGGAGAGATAATTCAAACATGAACTTGTCATGTTTTGATGGATGAGTTAAAATGTATTCAATGTACGGTAATACTAAACAAACAAATCCTAGGGATCACCAGCATTGACTTTCACTTCTTGTACTGGTCACAAACATTTTGTTTCTAGAAAACCCAGTGACAGAAATAACTCTTATATGGTCCAGGTTCAGCATCACACCCCACATACTTGAATGTTCCCCTTAAAAGGGAGTGCAGAATAAATTGCATAGAGAAACAAAAGCAAACAGTGAACAGAAGACAACTGAGAAACCCTTACTTTTTCCTTTCCCCTTCCAAGATCCGGAATAAATCTTTGAAGTACTGGGGCACGCGGACAATCAAATTCTCTGACTCATCTATGTCCTTAAGGTCTGGATAGAGTTTAGTATCAATCACCTTCTTGATATAGGCCAGCCAATCAAACTGAAAGAGACAGAAAAGCTCAGCTCCTGGCTCCTCCTGGCAGAAAAGGCTCATGAAATCAATTACTTAACATTACCTCAATGATTTAAAAAGTTTTGCCTAATTTCAAAGTTGAAATTCACTGCACAACAACACAAAATATTTTGAAACTTACATAAAAATGCAGCTGTATTTAAGATAATATCAGTGAACACCTGTTTCTATTAATTTCATGTAAATTGCCTTCTTATACATGTCTGAAGCACCTTTCAGTTTTGAAAAGTTAATTACTCAGTCCAATCAGGCATTAATACAGTCATTTTCCAATTAACTTCAACCAACCTGTGGGATCATGGTGGTAAGTTCAGATATGTTCATTTTATTGTACATGGATTCACTAGTTCGATTCTCGGCTGGAATCATTATCTGTAAAATATAAATGCAAACAAACATTAGATACCCTGAGAAATGCATTCTGATTTTGCTAATACCCACAGATTTGTTAATCCCTCCTTAACATAGGCAGCACTCTATACATAGCAATAGGTTGCCTACTGATTTCAAGAAAATAAACCACAAACCTATTTTTGTTTAATTTTGTTCATTAGCAAAAATATAAATCCCATCCTTTTCATGCTGAAACCATTTTTTAGACCTTCCGTGCATGTAATACAACTGATGCTCCTTTCATTCATAAAATACGTTGAAATTAAAAATCTTGGAAAAAGTGACTTTTGGTACTACCCACCACCTTCTTCATAACCATTAACCAACACAGCCAGTTGTAATCTAAGGAGGATTACTGGAATGGTTGTCCAGAAAGTAATGGTTCCAAGATCTATGAAATTACAGTTGATTTCATAAACCCATCTTGACACCAGTTACAATCTGGCTTGCATGCTTATACTATATTCACAAGTTGAATTAATGTGACTGAAGAAGTGTAATTGTCAGTCCCACTTAATATTTCCTTGTCCTGCATAGCAAGAAGACTTTTATAGAATATAATTTTATACCATCATTTGGTAAATGATGAACCAGACATTATAGATTAAAATAAATTCTGATTAATTATGCAGGATTTGAATCCTCAGAAATGCTCATCTGTAACATCTCACAACTGTCACAGGTAAAATGTGTGGGGATGCTGGACAGGTCCTTCTCAATGGTTGCTCCTATGTTCTGGGATATTTTGGATCAATTATCTGGTCCAAGCTAATAAGTTCTACTATTACCAATATTACAGTTTATCTACCAGTTGCACAGTATGGCTATACCTTTTGGTATCTATATACAGACCATCTGTTCTCAAGTGAGCCCCCAGTGGTGCAATGGGTTAAACCCAATTTGGGGAGAGGGGGTCAACATCCCTCTGTCAGCTCCAGCTCCCCATGCAGAAACATGAAAGAAGCCTCCCACAAGGATGGTAAAACATCAAAACATCTGGGCATCTCCTAGGCAACATCCTTGCAGTTGGCCAATTTCTCACACCAAAAGCGACTTGCAGTTTCTCAGGTAACTCCTGACACGGAAGAAAAGTTCTCAATGCCTCAGCCAAACCTGCTGTGTGGGAAACATTATCTCCTCAGAGAAATTAAAAGCAACAAGTCCAGTTTATGAATATTTGTTGCGAAGTTGGAGCAGTGTTGAACTCTGCAAGTTAACCAACAGAAAAATCTACTGGCTCAATAGCTAAAACCTGTTAAAATATAAAATTAGTTTTAGTCCAATAGATATTAATGTGTTGAACGTTTATACCTTTTTTTTGGGGGGGGGGGGGAAGCAGCTCTTCATCACAATGTTCTGTTCAGTGGTTACTCTCATCTTAGTCTGATGTATTACAACATATAAGTTTTTTATTACAAAAATCTTCAATATATGGAGACACRGATCTTCTTTTAAAGTATATTCCTGGGATACTGAATTGAACTGAGGTCAGCATTGCTGGCTCTTTCATGATTTATTGTGATAAAAGACCTATCTGCCAAGGCTGAGAAGGCGAACATTCACCATCCTTTATTCAATGGTCAGAAAATAATGCAAAGGGTTGGCATGTAACAATGTATTTTACAATGTCAACTTCAAGAAGATGCATTTTAAAATATTGCCAGCTTATATCATTGCATATGACAAGTCCTTATTTGTATCTTTTCCTCCTTTCTTTATTCTTTTTTCTTTCCCATTCTTTTATGTTGTTTTTCCATTCAATCACAGTTTATAACAAAAATAAAATAGCAATAATTGTTGTCGGCAGTGGTAAAGCTCCATATACCATTATTTTATTTTTTATTTATTTATTTATTTACTGTGCTTATATACCGCAATTCTCAGCCCTTTAAGGGCGACTCATTGCGGTGTACAACATGAAAAAACAAGTGCAATTTACAAACATAGTGCAAAATAACCCACAATTCATCCTTATCAGAAAAACATCTTATAAAACATCAACATTATTACAAAATTTCTACTACATTCCGAATTGTCTCATCGTCAACCCACAATCCGATATCATTTCCGTTGTTCCGTTCCTATGGTCAAATTACCAGTCATTGCACTTCTTGATCAAATGCCTTCTTAAAGAGCCAGGTCTTTAACTTCCTGCGGAATATCAACAGGGAGGGGGCTAGCCTGATGTCCACAGGAAGGGTGTGAATTCACCATACAGTGAATTAAATGAGTAGGCAACACCGGCAAAACTAGTGGAAAGGAAACTCATTGTATTATGAAGAACGGGATAGCTGATAATGTTTAATAAGATCTTTATCCAAAAAAAACCTGAAGTTTGCATTAAATGAAGGGATTGAAGTTCTGGCCATCCTTCTTTTGCTCATTAAATGTTCTTTAAAAAATTTCCTTCAGAAATTATGCTATTAAAGGAATTGCATGAATATATCCTTTTGTCCCTTGGGATACAACCAGAGATCCTGCAGTCTCAAGGCATCTCCATACTTTATATAGATAGATAAACAGATAGATAGATAGATAGATAGATAGATAGATAGATATATCTAAGTATCTATAGATATCTCTATTTCTCTATATCTACCTATCTATCTAGCCATCCATCCATCCATCTCTTTTTTTTTGTTCCATCTCTTCACACTCTACTGTTATAATTAAAATAAAGAATAAAAAGAATAAAAGTCCAGCGCTCAGCAGCTCACAGGGGATGAGAGACAGGGCCTTCTCTGTGGTGGCCCTCTGGCTATGGAACTCTCTCCCCAATGAGATTAGGTCTGCCCCCTTTCTCCTGTCCTTCAGGAAGCAGCTTGGAATCAGGCATTTGCAGATTGATGGATTGATCCGGTAAAGACTAAGAGTTATTGGACCACAATGTTTGGATTGAGTTGGATTGAGTTGGATGATGTTTTTATCTTGACGAATTGTTTTTTATATGTATTTTAGAACTTATTTATTATGCTTGTTGTTTTTATAACATCATTTATTGTGTAGCATTGAATTTTTGCTGTTGTTAGCTGTTCAGAGTCCCTCCACGGAGGTAGAGAAGAACAGGATATAAAAATTCTAAATAAATAAATAAATAAATAAATGAGAAAGAAAGAACGAAAATAAAATTGAAAGACCACACAGGCATATAAAAATATTGAGTCAGAGTAGGAAGTGTGGTCATTGTCTCTCAGCAGCCAATAATCCCCAGAAGGTTTTTTAGAAAACTGTCATAGCTGTTTCTTGCCAAACCTAAGTGCCTAAAAAATATGGACTCCAGCTAAATATCCCTACAGTATGCCCCCAAACCATTTGGACAACCTGAAGTTTACCCTTGGTCTTAGCCCATCTCTTCACAAAAGTAATCAAGGATTACTATGAGAAGTACCTCATTCCTAGCTGGAGATAGCCAGGTACAAGAGAAGAACACATTTTCCTCACCTTTTCTCTCAAAGATTGACAGGGAGAAGATGCAGGACCAAAAATATCTATGCACAATAGTTTAGTCAGCTACTGACCTGAAATGTTTAGAATGAATACTGCTGAATGAAAGATTATAACATGATAGAATTCCTTCAGAAGTTCCAGTTGCCACAAATGCAACTGTAATCTCATATTTAGAAAGGCACTAACCTCAGCTATTTTAACCTCCAGTTTAAGCACAGATTTCATGTCCAGCTCTGCACGTGAAGCATTGGCACCCAAAAGCACCGCTATGTCAACCATGAACTGGAACAGAGCATCTCTGTACTGTAGAATAAGAAAGCATTGTCGCCAGTTATGCCTCTAAGTTACATAACAGTCACACATTAAAATAGTGCAGAATCATCTTGTTATTTTTAACTTCAGTAAATGCATTAATCACACTTTGAGCTCCAAATTAGCTTATCATGGGGATCATTTTTATTATCAACCTGAATTAGCAGCCCAGTTTCACCTCTAAGCATACACTGAAGAACTGAAAATCTTTGCCTGGTGACATTGATAAAGAATTGCAAAAGGGAGTCACAGAAGGAAATCACTGTTCCTTTCCAGTTACATTTAGTGGTAACCGAAGCCCAAGTTAGGCAGCCTTATTTGTAGGTCTACCCTGTTCATGTAAAGCCAGGAGTGGAAAACTGAGGCAGATTTGAGAGCTGATATGGACCTGCACCTGCAGACCACACACTTTCCAAAGTGCAATTTTCTATTCTTCTTCTTCTTCCTATTACTATTACTATTGCTATTACTGTTATTACTATATTTTAAAGCACTTGAAGTAACCAGATGTCTATTTCAGTGTCCAAAATGAAAATGGGAAAAAGGCCCTTCAGCTTACTTTAAAAGACTTCATCTTAAGTTTTCTGTTGTAGGGGACAGGAAACTAAATTTCCAGTGTGCCAGAGATTGGTACACAAATTTCCCCAATTGGTTACAGTAGTTTTTTCTTAGTTTCTCCAGGGAGCAGTAGTTGATTGCTGATGGACTAGTAATAGATAAGGAGCTATTACTCTGAGTAGTGCTGCGTTAGAAGATAATTGTTTCTCCTGAAGACTTCTCGGTGCCCCAGTTCTCCTCTGTGGAACAAATTGGTAATGGACTGGAAGGGTCTAGGAAGCAAAAATTACCAATTTTTCATTAAATGGACCAAACTAGAGCTGCATCTACTCAAGGCTAATAATTCAGAGTAATCTGCTCTGGAGCTACCCGAAATACACCTCAGTGATACTTCATGTACTGGCGCGGAAGTGCTCCAAAGTCTGTCCTGAGGGCCGCCACCACCTTGTGAGTCATATACAGTTCCCTAGAAGAGTCTTGCTTGTGACATTGCTTCTGGTGAAGTCACAACAGGGTGCCCAGCCATGTGATGACCAGAATCCAGCCATGCTCTGTCAGGGAGCTACTTCTCTCTGGCTTATAGTTGTGGGTTCTTTTGATATGTGGGCACTGGATCATCCTAGAATAAGCCCAATTCAGCTGCCCACATGTCAAAAACACCAGGGAACGCCCAGGAGTTTCCTGGAAGCTTTGGACTAATCTGCAATTCTTATTGTGACAGATTAAAAGGTGGAAGCAATATGTCTGCTGAGGAACTGGCTGTATGTCATCTGTACTGCTCCCAGCAGATTCAAAATAGGAATGGTATTTCATCGATGTAGACTAGGGTCAATTAGGGAAGCAGTCAGAAACTGATCATGAGTAGAGAGGATGGGATAAAAAAATATATAGTAGGAAATCCATCTTTGTCTTGGGAATTAATAATATTAACCAAAATGGGAGTGGAAATCCTGCACATAGGCATTGCTATCATGCTTTGTCAAAAAAGCTATCTGGATCAGTAGTTCGCAACCTGGGGACTGCAAAGGATTAAATTATTAAATTATTATTTATTTATTTATTTATTTATTTAATACACTTGTATACCGCTAATATCTCAGCCTAAGTCGGCGACTCATTGCGGTTTACAACAATTAAAAACAATATACAATTTAAAACAACAACACATAGACAATACAAATTATTGGGCCACCAATAGTAATTCCATGTATCTCGTCACTAAAATCACAGTCCAGAATTCGTCATCCATAATTAACCAGTCCTTAGTCCATAAAATTCGGTGATAACAAACTAACCGAATGCTTGTTTACACAACCATGTTTTTAATCTCTTCTTAACTTTTATTAGTTTTGATACTATCATATGGAAGTATTATGATAAAAAAAATTAGAAATCATTATTTGATGCAGTCCAATGCCTTAAATCTTAAGTCTTGGGGCCTCAAAAGGTATTTAATAGGGGGTCGGGGTGAAGAAAAGGTTGAAAACCACTGATCTAGATATATGATTAAGGAATACTTACAGCTTTCGCTTCTGTGGTGTTCTTCAAATAGTCTTCCTGTGCTGATAGAGACAGAGATGCTTGGTCTAGCTATTAAAACAGCATAAACAATACAGGTGTAAGGATTAGAATTATTTTAGAAATTAACAAGACTACTTTTGCTTGATTGAAAACCTATAGTCACTTCCTTAGGAGCAAACCTTACTGAATTTGGGGCATGACTCCCAAGCACATTTGGTGGGACCTAGGGAGTGGACCTTTTTAGTGGCTGCTCCCAGACTCAAGTGGTACAGTGGGTTAAAGTGCTGAGTTGCTGAGCTTGTTGACCAAAAAGTCGCAGGTTCGAATTCGGGGAGTGGCATGAGCTTCTGCTGTCAGCCCCAGCTTCTGCCAACCTAGCAGTTTGAAAGCATGCAAATGTGAGTAGATCAATAGGTACCACTCTGGTGGGAAGGTAACGGCGCTCCATGCAGTCATGCCAGCCACATGACCTTGGAGGTGTCTATGGACAACGCCAGCTCTTCGGCTTAGAAATGGAGATGAGCACCACATCCCAGAGTCAGACACGACTGGACTTCATGTTAGGGGACAACCTTTACCTTTTACCCAGATTTTGGGTAAAATCTGGGTACTCCTTCCCTCCTGAGAAAGACCAGAATGGCTTCTTTCCTGCTTGCTTTTCACAAGCAGGTAAAGACATTTCTGTGCCAGCAAGAATTTGGAGGAGAATGAGGGGCATGTTGCTGGGGAGGTTATAAGTGGGATTGGGGGAGAGGGAGTATGTTGAGTTTAAAATGTAATTTTAATTGTATTTATTGTATTTTAATTTTATTTTAACTTTATATCCATGCACTAATACTTTAATTGTTTTTTTATTTTTGTATTTGTTTTGTTTTAAATTGTTATTAGATTGTGTGATTATTAGCCACCTTGAGAGCCTATGAGGAGAAAGCTGGGATATAAATATAGTTAATAATAATAATGTCGACCAAAGTAGGCCCACTAAAGCAATGGCATTTCTATCATTCCCAATAATCAATCCAACACTTCTGTTTGAACTAGCAATAGGATTTAGTCCAATAGGACTAATCTCCAGATAGATATGTATCAGAATACTGAACAGTTTGGGGGGAAATGGTACATCAAAAACACACACATTTACCACAATTAAACAATAATAAAAAAAATAAGTAAATTACTAGGAGTAAATCACATTTATATTAAAAGACTAGATTTTGCTGTTTGATGGAACCAGATTATATAAAACATTTTAGAAATCTACTTTCCCCTTCCTCCTCATGTCAAGATGAAAATGCTTCACAGCATATCTAATCTGGGAGAATTTGTTTCATCCTTGATTAACTATGTAGAATAGTGCCAGGTACTTTATGTACATGGGATTGATGTAAATCAAATTAGAGAGAAGGTTAAGGAACCTTAAGGAATACAGGTACACATATTCCCCTGACTCTCGGTGATTTGCATATATGCATACTAATAGCCTCTTCTAAAGTAATATTGCTGAACAAATTTATTGTTGACAAATTTAGTTAGAGGATGAAATTTTGTACTTTTTGAAAAAGGTTTTTTATAATACATCTTTGCATATATATGATGAAGAAATTATTTGTTCCAGCTATATGTAATGATATTATCTAATATTTAATAACCAGACCAGAGACTAACACCATTCTTCTAGGGCAGGGGTAGGGAACCTTTGGCCCTCCAGCTGTGGTGGACTTCAACTCCCACAATTCCTTGAGGCTCGGCATTCGCCCCAAAGGCTTACCTTGGCCCAATGCCGAGCCTCAAGGAATTGTGGGAGTTGAAGTCCACCACAGCTGGAGGGCCAAAGGTTCCCTACCCCTGTTCTAGGGCAATGGTTCTCAACCTGTGGGTTCCCAGATGTTTTGGCCTTCAACTTCCAGAAATCCTAACAGCTAGTAAACTGGCCGGGATTTCTGGGAATTGTAGGCCAAAACACCTGGGGACCCACAGGTTGAGAACTACAGTCCTACGGCCAGAACTCTGACCTCTGCTGATGTACCTGACCCACCCCCAGCTCCTGTTCACCAGTGCCACCAATTCCCACTTCCTATTTGGCAACCTGATCAGATATAGATAAAGACATACAGAGACTTAAATCTGGAGTTCTCAAGGTTTTTATTAACATAATACAAGGTCTACTTCACTATACCTTTATGATGTGTTCATTAGACATCTTGTCATCAGAAGACACATACATTCGGATGAAAACAGAACTGCTATATTGACTACGAAGAGCAGCCAGTGTCTGGACCATGCTGAACTTCCTTTCTGACCAAAGTCCTTCAGGTCCAATGTTTGATTCCAGCACTGGCCAGCGAAATGGAGAATGTTTCAGCATGCTTAAAAGTGGTTTTGCATCAGCCTTCTCTATCTTATCTGGGGGCAAAAACAAGTAATTGTAAGACAAGTTTCAGCTGATCCAATTAGTGCCCCGTGTGTGTGTGTGTGTGTGTGTGTGTGTGTGTGTGTGTGTGTATGAGGGAGGGTGAGAGATGTATGAATTCTTCAACTATGGCATGTTCTTTGGCCATTCCAAGTCTTCATTTTAAAGGTTTTCAGTTTTGTGAAAGTATGATCTGCTATAGGATTAGCCTAGCTATAAGCTATATTGGACATTTTGTCTCAACTGGCATATGGAAAGCAGGGACAGCAGGACAGCTCTTGCAAACCATTGCTACTATCAAAGACAACTGCATGGGGAGCATCACAGCCATAACATTGACCTTGATGGAGATTACATGACCATATTGGCATCTTATTTGCTTGGCAATGGGGGGTAGCAGGTGGATTGATTTCTCTTTTGGCTAAAACGGCAGCATGTTTTGCATTTCAAAGGGAAAACACTGGCCGGTATAGCATAAATATACTCTATTGCAGTTAAGAGAGCCAAACTAAGATAGTGGTTTGAGTTTGACATGAACAGTAGAAGAACAGGGAATAACTTCCTGAGAGCAAGGGCCCTTCCACACGGCCATAAAACCCTGAGTATCAAGGCAGAAAATCCCACAATATCTGCTTTGAATTGGGTTATCTGAGTCGACACTACCATATATCCCAATTCAAAGCAGAAATGTGGGGTTTTATTCAGCTGTGTGGAAGGAGCCTAAGAGTTTTTTGACAGAGGAAAATGCTAGCTCAGAGGAAGTTGGCATCTCCTTCTCAGGACATTTTTAAACAGAGGCTGGGTGGCCATTTTGCAGGAGGCTATTCTCAAATGCTCAACTAGACATGCCTCTGAAGGTGCCAAGGCTGATGGCAATGTGAGAAAGCATGAATAAATGGTAGTACATGAAATTGTTTTATCTGTTTTTAAATTACATTGTGGCTGCTAGACCTCTAGATGTCAACCTATAACCCTGGAAATAAAAACAAGATTTACTTACTCTCATTCATACACGAATTATAAAGTATCTTGGCCTTCTGTACAGCTTCACTGTCCCGTCTTTTGCTGAGTGGTTTTTCAAGGAGAGCTGTGATATTAAAAGAGAGAAAAATGTTTCCCTCAACTGCTCTGAAACATTATTGCCATCAACAAAAAGTCAAAATATCACAAGTAGAGAAGATGCTGTCATTTTCCAAATGAATCTGATTTCTTCACTGTGGAAGTTCAGGAAATATCAGATGTGTATAGATAGCCTTTCCAATCTGCCTAGGAGAATCTGTTTGTTTGTTCTGCAGCAAAAAACATTTTGTCATGTAAAATTGCAAAGTTTGACCTTTTCTGTGATAGCACCAATCCTTTGGAGGATTCCCCCTGTTGTTCAAGAGGTAGAAACTCTGTTATGTTTTTAATGCCTTTTGAAAATGTATTTGTGTGTATGCAGTATAGGTTTCCACTGTCTAGAATTATTTTCCTGTTAATATATTATTATTTATGTATTCTAAAGCCTTTGACTGTGTGGATCATAATAAATTGTGGCAAGTTCTTGGTGGGATGGGCATCCCAAGCCACCTTGTCTCTCTCCTGAGGAATCTGTACAAGGACCAAGTAGCAACAGTAAGAACTGACCACAGAAAAACAGACTGCTTCAAGATTGGGAAAGGCGTACGGCAAGGCTGCATACTCTCACCCAACCTTTTTAACTTGTATGCAGAACACATCATGCGATGTGTGGGGCTTGATGAATGCAAGGCTGGGGTTAAGATTGCTGGAAGAAACATTAACAACCTCAGATATGCAGATGACACCACTCTGATGGCCGAAAGCGAGGAGGAGCTGAGGAGCCTTCTAATCAAGGTGAAAGAAGAAAGCGCAAAAGCTGGGCTGCAGCTAAACATAAAAAAAAAACCAAGATTATGGCAACAAGAATGATTGACAACTGGAAAATAGAGGGAGAAAGTGTGGAGGCCGTGACAGACTTTGTATTTCTAGGTGCAAAGATTACTGCAGATGCAGACTGTGGCCAGGAAATCAGAAGACGCTTACTTCTTGGGAGGAGAGCAATGTCCAATCTCGATAAAATAGTAAGAGTAGAGACATCACACTGGCAACAAAGATCCGCCTAGTCAAAGCCATGGTATTCCCTGTAGTAACCTACGGATGTGAGAGCTGGACCTTAGGGAAGGCTGAGCGAAGGAAGATCGATGCTTTTGAGCTGTGGTGTTGGAGGAAAGTTCTGAGAGTGCCTTGGACTGCGAGAAGATCCAACTAGTCCATCCTCCAGGAAATAAAGCCCGACTGCTCATTGGAGGGAAGGATACTAGAGACAAAGTTGAAGTACTTTGGCCACATCATGAGGAGACAGCAAAGCCTAGAGAAGACAATTATGCTGGGGAAAGTGGAAGGCAAAAGGAAGAGGGGCCGACCAAGGGCAAGATGGATGGATGGCATCCTTGAAGTGACTGGACTGACCTTGAAGGAGCTGGGGGTGGTGACGGCCAACAGGGAGCTCTGGCGTGGGCTGGTCCATGAGGTCACGAAGAGTCGGAGACGACTGAACAAATGAACAACAACATTCTTAATATTTATAATACATTATTTTAAATGCTTTTAAGCATTTTTAGAGAGAAATGCATGCAGTTCTTTCTCCCACCCTGGGCTTTTTACAGATATATAAACTCAATTTTCCTAGTTTCTAACAACCTCTGAGGATGCCTGCCATAGATGCAGATGAAATATTAGGAGTGAATGCTCTAGAACAGTGGTTCTCAACCTGGGGTTGAGCCATTTTTGGGGGGTTGCGAAGCTGCCTTGGCCAGCTCCACCCCCTCCAAAATGGCTGCCAACCCTCTGAGCCAGCCAAATGGCACTCCTGGCAGGCTCCTCCTCCTGCTCTTCCCACAGACCTGTGGGTAGGTCAGGAGGAGATTTGGAGGCAAAGTCACGGGGGAAAAAGAATCACCCTCTGTTCAGGCCTGCAAGGTGAGTAAACTTCTTCCTGCCATCCTCAATGCCTGGTCATCCATGGAGCCTTCACCGCCCGGCCTTTGCCTCCATCTGAGTTCAGAAGGGAACAGGGTTGGACAGAGGGAATTCTCTGTGCCAAGTTTGAGTCCATTCCATGGTTGCATGAGTTCAGAATGCTTTTGGATGGGAGGGAACTATATATCCCAGCAGCTCCCAAATGCCAAGGTCTATGTTCCCCAAGCCTCTGCAGTATTTTCTGCTGACCATGAGAGTTCTCTGTGCCGAGTTTGAGTCCATTCCATGGCTTCATGAGTTCAGAATGCTTTTGGATGGGAGGGAACTATATATCTCAGCAACTCCCAAATGTCAGGAAAATAACCCCAAAACTGTCCAGTAATTTCTGTTGGTTATGGGAGTTCTCTATGCCAAGCTTCTTCAATTCCATTTTTGTTGGAGTTCAGAATACTCTCTGATGGCAGAGGAACTGTAAATCCCAGCAACTGCAACTCCCAAATGTCAAGATACATTTCCCCCAAACTCCAGCATTGTTCAAATTTGGGCATATTGAGTATTCATGCCAAGTTTGGTCCAGATCCATAGTCATTTGGGTTCACAGTGCTTTTCAGATGTAAGTGAACTATATCTCCCATAAATCACTGTCAATTCCTCCTAAACTCCTCCAGTATTTTCTGTTGATCATGGGAGTTTCGTCCAGGTCTGTAATTCGTGGGGAATCTCAGTGGTCTGTGGAAGTCAGAGCTGAATTGGTTGAAGGTACTGCAAATCCCATCATCCATTGTCCATACTCCCCCAACATATTGTTTTTGTGATTAATCACTATGTTTTAATTATGTTCAAATTGTAACAATAAAAATACATCCTGCATATTAGATATTTGCATTAGAATTCATAAGAGTAGAAAAATTATTTATGAAGTAGCAACGAAAATATGGTTGGGGGTCACCACAACACAAGGAACTTTAGTAAGGGTCACCACATTAGAAAGGCTGAGAACCACAGCTCTAGAACATGGCCATATTGCCCGAAAAACCTACAACAACCCAGTGATTCCGGCCATGAAAGCCTTCGACAATTCAGTGCATACAGTAATTTTCAAAGAGCCCTGGTAGCTCATTTCAGCATAAGGGAAGAGAAAGGACAGAAGGAAAGGTTGAGAGCAGTAACTTTGAAACTAATTGATTTATCACAGTATGAGCCTTTGTGGGTATTAATCCACTTCCTCAGAGACACTGATTTATTTCAATATGAAAACCATAGAGATCTAAGCACACAGCTGAGGGTGTGAAACAGAAGATAGAGAATATGCAAGTTATGACCCTTCTACACTGCCATATAATCCAGTATCTGATCCCAGATATCTGCTTTGAACTGAATAATGAGTCTACCATATAATCGAGTTCAAATCAGATAATCAAATCAGCCCCTTCTACACAGCCATATAATTCAGATTATCAAAGCAGATAATCCACATTATTTGCTTTGAGCTGGATTATATGAGTCCACACTGCCATACAATCCAGTTCAAAGCAGATAATCCAGATTTTATATGGCAGTGCAGAAGGGGCCTAATTTGTTCTATGATCCATATGGTTCTATGGTATTCACAGAATTTTCATCCAGCACCACATTTTAAATGATCTTATTCTCTTCCTGTCAATTATCTTCACTGTCCAGTTTTCACAACCATCCATAGAAACTAGAAATTCTATTGTATGGACTATCCTGACCTTGAAAATCAATAATAGAACTGAATGATATTGAACAAGCACATATTAGGTTAAATCCTGCTTCTAAACCTGAAGCAAAGAAAGGATTTGGCTTAAGACAGGACTGGGGAATATGTGGCCTTCTATGCTGGGTTCCAGCTATCATGTAATGTGGTCTGTCATCTAGAATATTGTGGATTATAATGCAACATCATATTAAAAAGCCAGAGGTCTTGTTTTATTATCTGGTATAGAACCTAGATTGAAGGCACCAGATCCCCTGTGGTCTTGGAAGCTAAGCAGGGTTTGGCTTGGTTTGTATTTGCAAGGAATATTGCCAGGAAATACCAGGTGCTGTAAGGTACGTTCAGGTGAAGGCAACTGCAACACACAGAAATTCATGGGCTCACTATAAGTCGATGCACACTGATAAAACCTTAAAAGTTTTGCCTTGGTAATGAATAGTCCTAAGTGTTATTTTTTCCCCCTTAACATAAAATAGCAAAGCCTTTATTGCTTTCATCTGTAAAACCCACATCAGCCAAATAATCCATTTGCATTACCTATGCTTCACTTCTGCATATTCAAACAGTAGATATTTCCTCCAAGACAAGCTCAAAGGAGGTTAAAAATACAACATATAAAATAATGCTTCAGAAAATTCACCGTACTGGCAAAATAAGGGGAAAAGGAATTCTTTTATTATTTTTTAAAGCACAGATATGCAATTTCCATTTCTAAGCCAAAAGAAGCATATCAGATTTCTTGTAATCAACCATAATGTATGGCCTTCCAATGGAAATAGAGGGCTGTTGACGCTAAATCTATGCTTAAGGAACACAGTGTTTTTCCTCTTTCTCCTCCTCCTACTTTCGAATTCCCTCACATCTACAGCTGTAGAGCAAAGACCAGAACTGGCTGCACCTGTCTGCTCCTTATTGGTATATCTGGCTTCATAGCCTTCCTGTATTTCTGGATTCTGCAAAACTTGGGAGAGTTGCTTTTATAAGAGTACAACTCCTGTATTTCCCCAAGCCAGCTTGGTCACTCAGGAGCAGATGGGTTTTTACCCAAGATGTCTGGCATGGAAATTGCAGTCCAGAAGCCAAACAAACATAAGCTTTGCATGGAGAGGCTGCCAGTTTCTATCCCAGTCAAAAAGAATCAAGTAAAAACAAAAGCCAAGGGAAAGGAGATTTGCCTGAAGAGCTTGGCAGTAACAATAGACAATAATGTGGTAAATAAATTCTGGCAGATCTTGGGACCAGTTTTCTGTCCCAGGTCTCTGCATGTGTCTTATAGACTACAAAAAAATAGAATAAAAATCCAACATGGGCAGAAGTTCTCAAAAATATTTTTTTATGTTGGGCAGGATCTGATACCTATTTAAAAATTA